GATGTATTCACTTCCTTAAAAAGGTATTATTGTATAAATTGGACTATATATAGGGAAAAATAGTCTATTTAAATTATTAGAAAATAGAGAAGCAAACTAATGTACAATATTTTTATTTATTTTTAATTTTGTAAATCAAAAATAAAAAAATAAAAATAACATTATTTTAAAAATGAAAATATGGTTGTTTATATTGTCTGTATTTTGTAACTTTTTAATATATATAAAAATTTTAAATATAATAATTAAAATAATACATTGTCAGTCATATCTATTATTGAGTTAACATTTAAAGAAATGTCATCCCTATAAAATTAATAAAATTAATGATATAAAATAAATAAAAAATTAATGATACATTAAATCATAATATGTAGTATAAATATATAGTATACATATAAAATAAATAAAAAATTAATGATACATTAAATCATAATATGTAGTATATATATATTGATTGTTTTATTCTAATACAGGTGTGAGTAGCAAACGCACTAAGGATGACGACTTGATCGTCAAAGGGCCAGTGCCCGGTGGCCCCATTGACGGGAGTGTGATCCCTAGCTTTCTAGGACACGTAGCCTCTAGGATGTGGGCAGGAGAATTCAGAGGCATGTTGAAATGCCAAAATAGGATGGCAGCGTACAAGAGTTTGAAGAATTGGCTCCAGGAGATGAGTCCGGCTCCGCGCGCCCTGATCCGTGACACCGGGATGTCACATTTGGCCTTCTGTATGCATAGTCACGTCGACACTCCACTTCTCTGTGCATTTGTGGAGCGCTGGCAGCCAGATACGAACTCATTTCACCTGTCTTTTGGTGAAATGAGTATACTGTTGCATGACGTGAGGGCCATTTTAGGGATTCCTATGGAGGGAGCGGTAGTCACCGCGGACCCCGACACTCTCACATTTCAGGCGTACTGCATGGAGCTCTTGTGGGTGGACCAGGATACATTGTGGGCCACATTATGGAGTAAAGGTTCGGTGAGCCAAGGCGACGTTTTTGATGCATTGAGGGGGGAGGCCGGCGCAAATAGGTCGGCTCAGCATGTGGCAGCTGGCTGGATGTACGTTCTGCTCGGTACCACCTTGTTTACGGACAAGAGTGGTAATAGGGTCGGTCCCAAAGTCCTGCACGAGCTACTGGACGAGAGGAAGAGGGTACAGAGTTATTCTTGGGGCTCCGCTACACTAGCGTACCTTTACAGACAGTTGGGTATCGCCAGCAGGGGGAAGTGTGGGGGACTATCAGGATGCTTGACTCTCCTGCAGTCCTGGATATATGAGTACTTTCCGACCCTTCGACCCAAGCAGCCGCGTATGACCCTCTCGCCTGGCTGTGACGCCCGGTCATCCTTGTGGACCACCCCGTCCCGGAAAAGGTAAATGCGCTTCTCGAGGATTTTCGGAGGCAGATTGACACACTCACCGCTGCCGATGTACGTAAAGTTATTTTATTTAAATTTAGGTGAAAGTTATTTCAAATAATCGAATTGTTTGAATAAATGATTTTATGCAATTGTGAACAGGTGAACTGGCTGCCATACGAGCGCAAGCCACATGAGGTAGAGCCTAGGACCCTTTATTTCGGATACCTTAGGTACCGGGATATTGTGGAGCCCTACATGCCTCTGTGGTGTTTGCGTCAGTTAGGCTACGTCCAGATTGTCCCTCCTGGCATTTACCGTCCGACACAGGTAAATAGGCCTTGGGAGTCTCAGTCGTACACGGTTGAGCATGCTGATAATGCAGCCGAGGGTAGCTGGAACCAGTTCCCGGTCCCTCATTCTCTTCACTTGTCTGATTTTACAGAGACCCCCGTAGATGATCGAGGGCAGACCCATCGGGACTATCTGGGATGGTATGAGCGGGTTCCTCATCCTAGACTTCTGCCTTAGACTCTGCCGTACGCCGACGCGGTCCCTGCGCGCGCCGACTACGATTATATAAGTCGTTGACTAAAATTTAGTTAATATTCTGTCATTACATTTTTTTTAAATTTATATGTGATCATATATTTTAATTCATCTATTTTGTGTAGTGGGGTCAGACGGTACTAATTCGTGTGGGCAGACCAGCTGCGGCGATTGGAGAGTGATGGTTCTGAGTTGGCTGCGCAATTTGCACGTGAGCTGAACCTACTTAATGCCGATTGGGATAGGGCGAAGCGGTGATGGGCTAATGTTTTTTTTTTATATATATATATTATATTTTTGACTTTGTTGTACGTACAAGTTAATTTTAGTTAAACTGTTTTTGTTTTTTGTTTTCTTATTTGTTGTTAGTTTATTTGAATCTTATTTGTATGCGCGTCACATGACTCGTATTACTTTCCTCGAATTTCCAACCGACTTTCAAGCTCACACGACCCCACACACGACCGGGTCACACGAGTCGTGTGAAAAATGGTGCACAATCCACGATAAACACGATAAATATCACAATTCACGATAAATATCACAATCCACGATAAATAACACGATAAAAAAGGTACCTCTAATATCATAGATTAATAAATAAATAAAAGAAAATGGCGCACAATCCACGATAAACACGTCCAAATATCACACTATATCACCCATAATACATAAGTCGGATATCATAGTATATCATGATCCAGTTGTACTACGAATAAGACGCCACAACTTCATCCTCCTCTAGTACAAATTAGCATATTCTGCGACCGTCCCATCTCGGTATCTATCCCAGGCTGAACATATAGAGGGTAATGTCGAATCAGATGACAAATTCAGACGAATGTAGTATTTGTAAGAACCAAGATGACCTATCACGATCTCGCGTTCAGGTCCCGTAGCGGTGGATGGTGCGTGCAGCGGCAAGAATGTCAAACTATTCCAGTCGATATTGTCATTTGTCTCACCCTTGCCTAACAACACGACAATTGCATTAAACAATGTAGCAATTACAAAGAGGTCGCCTAAACCTTCCATCCAATGCTCCTCCCCACAACCACCCAATTCCCATCTTATCCGATTGACTGCGACGTCGAGGGCATAATAATACACATGATCGTATCGTTGTCTGTTTGCTAAAATCTCATTTACCATGTTGTTTCTAACGTAACGCCACATATCTGATCCCTATACACGTAACTCGCCACCACCCGAAATCCGCAGTTCCCATCCGGCGTCACATCCTGATAGCTCTGTACGTAGGGATGCACTAAGTAGGGAATTCTATCAAAATGCCGATATTCAAAGAAGGGCATCGAGAAAGTCTCTGTAATATCAGAATAATTTCACGTCAGAATTTAAATAATCGAATTTACAAACACGATTAGTTATCGTTTAGATAAACAAAAAAATAAAAATCACATGTCGGATCATCAGAAGGTTGAAAAGACGAACTTGTTGGTGCCACACGAAGACGTGCTCTTACGCCCCACTGGACGACCTCTTTCCCTGTACTCCCCTATCAATGGAGCACACGAAGAAATGCTCTTATGCCCAACCCGGCGATCTGTATCCATGTACTCCGACTGCGATTGATCATAGGAAGAAGTGCTTTTACGGCGGCCTCTTTGACTGTACTCCCATTTAGATGGATCGCACTTTGTTGAATTGGGCTTCTTGGGCCGACCTCTCGGATTTTCCTTCACTGGAGGTTCTGTGTAACCTTGTTGGTCGGGGTGAAGTGTAGAGTCCATGAACTGAGTAACGTGCCTCAACGTTGCAGGATCGGCCTCTTCAACCTCTAATGCAAGCCTCCGAAAATTATCACGATCTGTCCATCCACTTCCCGATGCACTCAGGTGACCTGTCCGTTAAAAAAATTTAAAAAATTAAACAACACACTATATAATTAATTATATAAATGAAAGAATACGTGAAAAAATTAAACAACACACTCAACATCGAAATTATACCTGGCTCCTTCACCACTAGTGTGCTCCAGAACTCGTGGATCATGTCGGGCGTAATTTCCATACTCATAGTATATGCCCCATTTAGCTGACAGGCACAAAAAAGCCCATGAGTGTAACTCAGTACACATACGCAGCGATCCAAAACATCTTTGCCCAAGTCTCGCATCCTCTGAAACTCATCATTCAATAGATCCAAACAATAATGCGAAGCCCGCAATCTCAACTGCGCGAATGGGAATCCACGGTAACCCGTATGCATCCTATGTCTCGAAGACTCCAGCATTTTCCTGGTGATACATTACATAACATTAGACCTAAATCAAACATATTATATAATGAATGCAGTAATAACACAATAAATATGTATAAATTAAGGAATATACCTGACTTGAGTCATTTGAGACTCAATCTCCTTATCAATCTTCTCCCACACCGTGTCGAGCGAACCGGTCGACGTGTGCAGCCACCTCTTCAACGTAGCGTGGGCACTCTCCACCGTACACGTCGTCGTGTTGCCAAAATGTAACAAAGAGTTCGTCCACGCTCTGACAAATTTCTCCTTATGGACTAACCATGTCTTCTTCATATATTCTAACACACGAGGAAATATCGCGTATGTAGCATTCATATCAGCTAAGGCAGCTTCGTATGCATCCAACGTGCTCGCCTCGATGACCTTCTTCCACTTGCCGTGCGTGAACTTCTCTGCGAAGACCTTATTTTTGGATGTTAGTCTATACACCTTGTCTTCCACATCCTTGTTGATGTGCCACGTGCACAGTAGGTGGGCCGACTGTAGGAAATTCGTGTGGATAGAAGTAATCAACCCCAACTCCCAATCAGTGACAATGACTGAAGGATTTTTAGTTGGCTCTAGAAGAAGTCTCAACCGCTGTAGGACCCAGTCATAGCTGGACGCGCTCTCGTCCTTCATAATTGCATAGGCAATTAAGAAGTTCATATTGCACGGCCTCATCCCAACCATCTCCACCAACGACATATGATACCTGTAACAAGAAGATAAAACATACAATAAAAAAACTTACTCAATCAAAATAATAATTAAAATAAGATTCACAATCAACTGTCTATTTATAAAGTAACGTAACATACTTGTTGGTTTTGTATGTGGAATCTATATCGACATACCAGTAATATGTCCAGAATAGACTGGCTGCTTGTGGATGCGACATAAACACATGTGTCAACGCCTGTGTGTTCGGATCAACGTCAGTGTAACCTATGTAGTTGCTGACTGTAGCCATATGCAGAAGCTGCCCAGCCACATCTCTACCCTCCAAATTTTCTTTCCACAATTTAGCTTTATGATTATACACTTGTCGGATAGTCGCGTTGTCCACAGGGTGTTTCTCCTGAATTGCAGCCAAAATTACTGCCGGTGTTGCCTGAGCAGAACTCATATCACGGACAATCTCTCTGGATGGATCGCTGAGTCCGCGCATCTGTCGCTGACCCTCGGGATTCACAGCAAACGCATGATTATGCGTCCCCTTCTCGTCATCTAAAGGAACCGAGATACAAAATTTTTGGGATGTTGCATCAAGTTTGACTTTTATCATAAAAGGGCAGCCGGTCGCTTTTGTTTTCGATTTTCTCATAACAGCCTTAACGAAATTTCCTACTTTTCCTGCAGTACCTTTGTAACGTTCCCCTCGATGACACCTAAACTCTTTTCCTCCGTTATCTAAATTTCTCGAGATGACCAACTAGAAACCCCATATTATTGCAATGTTTTTGGCCCATTTAACAGCTTCATCACAACTATCAAATATGTCACTTGTAGCGAAACAACATCCATAATCAACACCGTCTCCTCCAAAATCTTCGAGGACCCCTGTTTACCATATATGTTAATAAGTTAATAAAATAATTTATAATAATATAAATTAAGTTTTATAAGAAATTCATTCTAATTTTAACTTAATATTTTATACTAATAAAATATTTTATAATATAATTAATTTAATTTTATACTATTATTTTATAATAATATAAATCCTAAATACGAATATTATACTAATATAGTAGTTAGTATAGTTATAAGTATAATTGTGCTATTAATTATCCTAAATACTAATATATACTAATATAGTAGTATAAATAGAATTTTTAATTATCCTAAGTACTAATTAATTTATACTAGTATAATACTTAGTATCATAATTATACTAATTATCAATATAATATTTAATATATATTAGTTATAAATATTAATATTTAATATTCATATTTAAGTACTTTTACAAAATATTTAATATTTAATATTATTAGAAATATAAATATTAATATAAATATTTAGTTTCTTTATTAAATTTTATTATTGAATATTCATATTTAAGTATTATTACAAAATATTAAAATAAATTTATTATTAACTTTCTTAATTACTTTTAAAAACATTTTTAACTAAAAAAAACTAAAAAAAAAATTCTGGGCCGGGCGCGGCCGGCCGCAAAACGCGGCTGGAAGAACACAGGCCGGCCGCAAAGCGCGGCTCGAAGAACAAAAAGACGGCCGCTAATAGCGGCCGTATGGGGACAGGCCGCAGTTGTTAATTGCGGCCGAAATGGTGTAGGCCGCAATTAACAACTGTCCCCACAATATCGAGCTGCAATCGCCGGTCGGCATATACGAATGCGGCTGCATTTGCCTGCCGGCCGGCAGCCAGAATTTTTTTTT